TAACTTTTGTAGGTTTTAAAGTACTGTTGTAAACATTTTCTTGATTGTATTGTTTTATCTCTTTGTAAACCACTTTAAGGCATGTTGTTTTTTTCAGTCATGCGGTATGTAAATTTTATTAAGCAAATTAAGCAAAATAAATAAACTCTCTTCATTCTTTGCCATTACCCACACTGGCTGGGGCTGATGGGAGTTGAAGTCCGACAGTATCTGGAGGACCACAAGTTAGATACCCTTGACCTAGACAGAAGGTGCTCCCCACAGACCAAGTACACAGTGGTTCCTCCGTGGAATGTGGCCCAGACATTTACTATAATGTTTGATATACAAAGAGCTTTCTGTTTTTCTGTATTCCTTGATACATCCCACAAAGCTGACCTTTATGAGGGCCTCCTGGTGGTTCCCTCATTGCAAAATGTGAAGTTATAGGGAACCAGGAAGAGGGCCTTCTCAGTAGTCATGCCCAGCCTGTGGAATGCCCTCTCATCAGATGTCAAGGAGATAAACAATTTTCTGACTTTTAGAAGACATCTGAAGGTTGACCTGTATAGGGAATTTTTTAAAAAATTGATGTTTTACTGTGTTTTAATTTGCTGGAAACCACTCAGCTGGCTTGGGTAACCCAGTTAGATGGGTAAAATAGTAATAATAATAATAATAATAATAATAATAATAATACCTTGCTTTACAAACCCAGTCATCTTACTCACTCTTCATTCGCTATACACAGGACGTTCAATGACAGTGCAGACTCAAGTTTATGATATCACCTGGTTCCCAAACATATACATAATTGTGCCCAATTGGGTTTATTTATTTCTGGGGTGGGGAGAAGCTACTTTATTCCTTCATCAAAAGTTTCATTTCAGAATGAGGAACCAGACAGCTAGACTGGTGACTGGGGGTGGCCACTGGGACCACATAACGCCAGTCCTGATAGATCTGCATTGGCTCCCAGGGCATTTCCAAGGACAATTCAAAGTGTTGGTGCTGACCTTTAAAGCCCTAAACGGCCTCGGTCCTGTATACCTGAAGGAGCGTCTCCACCCCCATCGTTCAGCCCGGACACTGAGATCCAGCGCCGAGGGCCTTCTGGCGGTTCCCTCATTGCGAGAAGTGAGGTTACAGGGAACCAGACCCTTCTTGGTAGTGGCGCCCGCCCTGTGGAACACCCTCCCTTCAGATGTGAAGGAAATAAGCAGCTATCTTATCTTTAAAAGACATCTGAAGGCAGCCCTGTTTAGGGAAGTTGTTAATAGTTAATGCTGAATTGTTTTTAACACTTGATTGGAAGCCGCCCAGAGTGGCTGGGGAAACTCAGCCAAATGGGCGGGGTATAAATAACAAATTATTATTATTATTATTATTATTATTATTATTATTATTACTGCTCTTATGGGTAGTAAGTTCTTCCTAACGGTTTTACCTGCGCTCCCAAATTTTGAAAAAATGCTTTTCATCCTGTTCTGGATGGGAAGGTGTACTACTGATCCCCCTCTTTCTTCTTCTCTTATTGTTGTTGCTGTGAATTGCCAACAAATCACAGCAACAACAACTGAGGTCCTATACTTTTCATGGTGTTTGATTGTTTTTGGATATTGTTTTATGCTTTGTTGTTTGAGGATGTTAACCATGTTGTGCTTCCTCTTGGAAGGAAAGTGAGATACGAATGAGCACTGAAACAAACACATGTTTAGGGAGTCTGGCTAAGACAGGCATAGACAAACTCAGCCCTTCAGATGTTTTGGGACTACAACTCCCATGATCCCTAGCTAACAGGACCAGTGGTCAGGGATGATGGGAATTGTAGTCCCAAAACATCTAGAGGGCTGAGTTTGCCTATGCCTGGGCTAAGACATGCCTGCCACATTGAAAGCAGAGCAACAGGAGAACTGAGGAAACAGCCTTAACCAGGGTTTCAGATTCTTACAGACAACCATTATTGCTTAGTTTATTCAAGACTAGATTGCTCAGATTTAACTAACTGTGGTAAAGGAAACAAACTGTAGCTAAACATTTTGTCTGCCTAAGGCCTAATACATTATTAACACCTTGCTGGTAATGGCATTTTCTAAAAAAAATTCTAACACATGTCGTACATGCTGCAGCAAAAAGTGCAATCCCCAGGAACTACTGCTATGCAAACCCCATCAAATCAATGGAGATTGAGCCAGAGCATTGTAATATTTTAATACTCCATTGTGAATCCTAACAATTTCAATGAAAGTTGTACAGGAGCTATTCTGACTGGATTGCATTCAAATTAGCACCTCTAAAGAAATATAGCATTTCAGAATAAATTGGCAGTTTATATTTTTGAATACTCCCCTATATTACATGATCTGAATCTATTTTAAAGAACATTTCAAAATTCAGTTATTTTTCCAGCTAGCTCACTGCACCTTTGGAGAGAATTTCATTCCAAAAGTTTGGAATTTTGGGTCCTTAACACAGAGACAATGCACACTTGCGACATCTCAGTTTGGAGATTCAGAATAATTCCTTGGCAATTATTTGGCTAAAAAGTTTTTTAAAAAAACTTTTGAAAAAGGTAAGCAGAATACTAATGCATCTTGCATGAATACGTAAAAGTATATTTAAAGCAGGTTACTTGGTATATCCTCCTTAAAAATTCTGCATACTTTCCCATATATTTGTTTAGGAATTGCAAGCAAAAATTGGAATAGGTTTTCAAGACCAAAGGGCACAATCCACCAAAGTAATCCTGCTTAACTGTGTAATCCTACACATCTGTTGTGTTCCCCTGAGTTCAATAGTTTATTCCTATATAACTGGGCATAGAATTGCAGAATCCTAAGCACACCTAGTAGGGAGTAAATCCCATTAGATACGGTGGATCTAACTTTCATGGAATCATGCACCGGATTGGACATTCAATCCCATTCAATCCAATGGAAGAATTCAATGTGTTTAAATATCTCTCTTTCAAATCAAAGCAGTTTTAAAGTGCTTACCTTTGGCTGAATACTGCTCATCTTATGTTATGTTATGAAGAATTATACAAAAGATAAACATAGAAAAAGTACATTAATAATAATGGTAACTCCAACCTTATAAAATGCAATCAAATCTACATGAATGTTACAAAATAAAATAAGCTACATGCGGACCTTTCATTTCCAAAAAATTAAATGGGATCTTACAAAGGCAGTCCTATATATCTTTCCAAGCAAGCCATTACAACAAACACTGCAATAAGACACAAAAAGAAGTTCAGTGACAGCATTTGCTTTACTGTAATGACTCTGGAATCTGTTCAGCTAGGCAAGAACTTTTTTATTAAAAATATATCAACTTCTATTCTATATACACTAAAAACTCCAACTATTTTTGGCTCTTTAACATTCCAGTCCTAAACTTGCTATTCATAAAGTTCTCTGAATTTCAAGGGAATTAATTTCTTCATAAGTGTGCTTGGCATCACAAACGTAACAATTTTCTATGTACATTCAGGATCTACATAAAGATTTTTAAACACAGTTACGGGTTTGTTTTGTAAAAAAATATATGATGAAACTTGTTATTCTAACAGCTGGTGGCACAACTGAACAATCTCATATTTTAAAAAAAGGTCATCAACTATTTGTGCGAAGTGAAAAGGACCCACACTAGCCTATCATAACTCTCTGAACCAGTAATGAAGCAAAGAAATGGAGTAATTCAAGGCCTAGTTGACAAGATACTTGTGTATTTGTTGGTTCAAAATTAGGAATAAACTATTCCTCTCCTGTGTCATAAAGTTAAAGACTGCTTTAAAAGAAAATTACTCTATCTAACTGCATAACTAAAATCACACTGAATCTGATCTTCAGTCATTGTTAAACTACTTAACCCAATAAACTCAAACTCAAGCAAATAAATTGTGGGGCTTTTTCTACCAGTTATTTTAATCAACAGAACAGAACCTACTTAACCCAAAACTTTCCTCATCCTGAGTTATCTGCCCAAATTGCAATTCCTGCCACCATCAAACAATTTTACAGAGTCCATTACAATTTGTTCCTGAAGTATACAATTCGCTAATTTCACAAGCGTCTTTTGAAAGTTATACTGTATGCCCAAAACTGTTTTCAGGCACTAAAACAAATTGCCATCTTTCTAGCTGCATGTCTTCAAGCAAAGACTGGTGCCTTCAAGCTGAACATCGTGGGTTTTCCCTGTTGTCACCAATTGAAGGGAAATGTGCTAGGTAAAGGAGGAATCGCTGAAAACAAATGCTGCTGCTTTAAGAAAACACAAAACACTATTTTACATCAATATTTAAACTATATTATTTCACAGCGGATATAGGAACATATATCAGAGGGGATCCCTTTTAAAAGTTATCATTTGCAATGTATTATAAAGGTGAAAGAAAGAAAAGCTTATACCCTCAAACCAGTTTTTTGAATAAAAACAACTGTCTAGCTTGATCCTAAAAGCTTAAAGTCAATGAGAACTTTTATTCTGCAAATGTATGCCATTTTTTAAAAACTTAGAATCTTCCCCCCGCCCCCGCCCACTCATCCCCATCTTCCAACCTTACTATACATACAAAATTCAAATACCGTATTATCCTATATGTATAAAGACAAAACACTGTGGCGGCTTCTTTAAGAAAGGCTGCTATTTCCCAAACCAGTGATGGACGAATTTTAATATACCGCCGCTTTAAAACAAAACAAAACAAAAAACAAAAAAGCCCAAGCGACTTTTAATAATCTTCTAAGTTTGAACACCGAAAACTTCTGAGTTTTTTTCTGTATCCCAAGATGGTTTTCTTTCCTGAAGCTCAAGCCGAGAAAGCAGACAAAAGAAGCCGATTTGATTGAACAGTGCCAAGTCTTGCCTTTCCCCCCCTTTCTTCAGCTTGCTTGCTTGCTTGCTTGCTTGCAGCATGGCAACCTTCCCAAGTAGTCTTGGCAGAGCTCCAGCCTGTGCCAGGCTGTTGGAAGTCCTGGTTTCCAATAGATGCCCTTTGCAAGTCAATTAATAAACATATACACACACACACACACACACACACACATATACACGTATAAACGTGTGTGTATGTATAAATGTATATGTACATGTATACATATACGTATATCTATATGTATATATTCTTAGCCAAAATTGTTGGTTAGAAACCAAATCCTGGCACCAGCATCGCTTCATCCTGCCAAATCGCCTTACAGCCTTCATGGTTTAGTACACTGTGCACAATGGTAACAAAAACATTTTACTCAGTAGTCCTGAAGAACTGGATGCAATGCGCACCATTCAGCGATAAGAAATGTGTTCTCTATAAACGTCTACAGGCAATACATAAAGATGCCAAGCTTCTTTCGAAGGAGGTTCTACCCATAACATTAAGAAGCATGGAATACTGCATTAATATCAGGCTGAATGGTGATAATGGGGAAAGCTCCACTATGGAAACAGACCTAAATCATGGCTAAAACTGAAATTATAATCATTTTGTTTTCAGAGAAAATACAAGGTATGTTAATTTCCCCTCCCCTCCTTGTGTCTCATCTTATCAGATATCTTGTCAGGTGGAACCACAGGCAATGGGTGGTCAGACCGTAAGATACAGTAAAGGTAAAAGGTAAAGGGACCCCTGACCATTAGGTCCAGTCGTGACCGACTCTGGGGTTGCGGCGCTCATCTCACTTTATTGGCCGAGGGAGCCAGCGTACAGCTTCCGGGTCATGTGGCCAGCATGACTAAGCCGCTTCTGGAGAACCAGAGCAGCGCACAGAAACGCCGTTTACCTTCCCGCCAGAGCGGTACCAATTTATCTACTTGCACTTTGATGTGCTTTCAAACTGCTAGGTTGGCAGGAGCTGGGACCGAGCAACGGGAGCTCACCCCATCGTGGGGATTCGAACAGCCAACCTTCTGATCAGCAAGTCCTAGGCTCTGTGGTTTAACCCACAGTGCCACCCGCTTCCCTTTAAGGGAGACATTAAGTTAACCAACCCCAGAGTTGGCCACGACTGGACCTAATGGTCAGGGGTCCCTTTACCTTTACCTTTTAATCACAGCCCCACTGTCATACCTATAGGGACACAGGAAGCTGTGTTATACCAAGTCAGACTAGCAGTACCCCCTAGTTCAGTAGTGTACACTGATTTGACAGTGGCTCTCCAGGGTTTCAGATAGGGAATCTTTTACAGTCCTAGCTGGTGATGCTGCAAAGGAGATGCTCTACAACTGAGCTACAGACCTTGCCCAATAAAAGCAGTTATTAAAAACCAGGCTTTGTTGTTAGCCTCCTTCTAACATATTAATGCTTGTATGTATTCCAAATGTTTGTATTCCAAAACATGCACTGAAGGCAAAAACCATTAAAGATTGCCAAACTTTATGCCTGAAGGGTAGGTAAGAATTTACATTTCAGCCTAAAGTGGTGGTAAAGCTTCTGACAGCTAATTTTAAAATCTGCTCAAACTCAGCAGGCTTAGAAATTATCAGCAGACTTTGAAATGTCAAAACCGTACATGCACACATAGCAGGGAAGAAGTCCCCTTGAATTCAGCGGGACTTTCACCAAGTAAACATGCTTAGGGCGTCAGTGGGACAATGTACATTTGGCTACCTATCAGCACAAACTTAGTCAATGTTCTTCATTTGTGTGGAAACTAGCTGCAGACCTTGCACAACTCGCAGGTGAGTTGAGCTTGTTTTTGCTTTGACAAAGTCAAGCCAGCTCAGCCCTTGGGAAAGTTCTGATAGCCTGGGAAACCACAGAGAAAGAGGAGCCGAGCAGATCAAGCGCAAAGAGGAAATATCACTTTCAAAGCCGGAAAAAGAGAAATGAGTCTGGAAATGAGCTGCCTAAATAGCTAGAGCTGGTTGATCCACAGTACTAGGCTCAGTTAATATAAGGATCTTTTATTATTATTCATTAGCAGCTCTGCATACCCAAGGAGTGACTCAGGTCTGTGAAGTGGCAGCACTCCTATTCACAGCAGCAGACATCAGGTCCATACTGATAACCGCAAGTGAACAGAGTTTCTTCATCCCTGGGGTACGGGAGAAGCGGAGACTCTCGAGGGAGAATTTGAATAAAAAGAAGGAAGCAAACCCAGTAACCGCTGTGGACAAGGCATATTATAATGTTATCTCTGGCACAGCTATTTTGTTATTGATAACCTCAGAAAAGCTTTTAGTATGGTTTGTTAAGCCGTATCAGAAATTCATCCCTCAATTGCAGTACATGAAACACTGTCCTTTAAAAAATGTAAACACAACCTTTGGGAAATTGGAGATAACAGATCCTTTTAAGATATTCTCCCTCTTTGGCGTACATAACCGTTTTATTCACAGATAAACATTTTCCACAGGTTTCTGAAAGGCTGGTCTTGCTGCCACTGTTAATAAGCTATAGAAGCTATAGGACTGCACCTTCGTCCCCAGTACAGGACCAGATTTTCAGCACCAGTGTTGCTGCATGGGCTTCCTTGCTCAGCAATGAAACAGCACACTTTGATAAACCCCAGTTTCTCAGCTTAATCTGCCTCACAGGGAAGTTGTGAGAAAAATGAAGTAATACTCTGCAAACAATCTTGACATAGACTGCAGGAAAGATTTCAAAATTATTAATCTCTGCTCCATAGACCCCCAGATGTTGTGATAAAGTGTCCAGAAGCAGAAGAGGCTAGAGCCAGGCCTTCTGTATCTTTAATTGACCCACAGAAGAGGGAATTCCGGAAGGTGCAGTTTTCCTAACCCTTCCAAAATTCCCTCTTCTAAATGCGATCCTCCATCTTCCTCTAATCCCAGATACTATTTGAAGAACTGATCAGCTGCTGTAATTTATTCGAGGGCCTTCCCAAGCCTTGACAGCCAGGCACTGAAGAACACCCTCAAATCAAGTTATTTTGTTCCATAATCTGGAATAAATTCTCAGAGCAACACACAAGCATCATTCTCCGAATAAAGATCTTCTCCGTTTTCTTGCGGTCAGGTTCATGAATATGCAATCTGCTGAATATGTCTCTTTTATGTCTTCTTTGCAATCAAGGGATTGCCAGTTGGGTAAACGTGTCCACCCATCAAGTGATGCTGTTCCCCAGCAACCTGACTTTTATTGCCGGGGGGGGCCCCTTCTGGTGAGATACTTCGGCTTAAAAGCCCATCTGAATCCTTCTGGGGTGGGGATCCATCTTTGCACAATAAAGCTTCAGGCCCATGCACAGCGCAGTGTGAGAGGAATGTTAAGCAGCTTTTGAAAAACTCCAGGGATTGGGGGGGGGGCGGCTTTCAGGTGAAAGTGTTGGCTAATGAATATTGTGTGTGGTACTTAGGAGGTGATAAGACAGTGTTGGGTTTTGAGGACTCCCAGGAGCTGTGTTTCTCTGACAGCCGGTCAGGCCATCTGAAATGCATACATATTGGATACCGTTCATCTACCAAAGATTATTTGCACGTTTTTGACATACAGGTACTGCTTCTTTTCCGGAAGTCACATGAAGAATTTCCACCTAAGTATCAGTTGCATTATCCCTGCATCATTTCGCCTGAAGTATAAACACACACAAAACTAACACATCTCTGTTTCTGGTCGTGTTGCTATAAATTTCATTGGAGAATACATTGTAAGGTACAGGCACATTGCACTTGAAATAAGAGTTCTTTTTTTATTGTTCTTTTTTGATAAAAGAGGGGGATGGAACACTTCTATAAACTTCTATCATGCCACCTCATACTCGTCTTTCCTGGTGGGATGCAGGTAGCACTGTGGTCTAAACCACTAAACCTCTTGGGCTTGCCAATTATAAAGTCAGCAGTTCAAATCCACATGACAGGGTGAGCTCCCATTGCTCTGTCCCAGCTCCTGCCAACCTAGCAGTTCAAAACCATACCAGTGCAAGTAAATAAATAGGTATCACTGCAGCGTAAAAGTAAACAGTGTTTCTGTGCGCTCTGACACTTATCATGGTGTTCCATGCTCCAGAAGCGGTTTAGTCATGCTGGCCACATGACCCAGAAAGCTGTCTGCAGACAAACGCCAGCTCCTTTGGTCTGAAAGCAGATATGAAAGCTGCTCCCCATAGCCAAATTCAACTGGACTTAACCGTCCAGGGGTCCTGTACTTTTACCTCACCTTTGCTCACCTTTTCTCTAAAGTAAAAAGTCCCACACGCTGCAACCTTTCCGCATAGCAGAGTCGCTCCATCCACTTGATCATTTGGGTGGTCCTTTTCTGAACCTTTTTCAACTATACAATATCCTTTTTGAGGTGAGGTGACCAGAACTGTACTTGTTGTTGTTTAGTCGTGTCCGACTCTTCGTGATCCCCTGGACCAGAGCACACCAGGCACTCCTGTCTTCCACTGCCTCCCGCAGTTTAGTCAAACTCATGCTGGTAGCTTCGAGAACATTGTCCCACCATCTTGTCCTCTGTCATCCCCTTCTCCTTGTGCCCTCCATCTTTTCCAACATCAGGGTCTTTTCCAGGGAGTCTTCTCTTCTCACGAGGTGGCCAAAGTCTTGGAGCCTCAGCTTCAGGATCTGTCCTTCCAGTGAGCACTCAGGGCTGATTTCCTTCAGAATGGATGGGTTTGATCTTCTTGCAGTCCATGGGACTCTCCAGAGTCTCCTCCAGCACCATAATTCAAAAGCATCCATTCTTCGGCGATCAGCCTTCTTTATGGTCCATCTCTCACTTCCATACATCACTACTGGGGAAACCATAGCTTTAACTATACGGACCTTTGTTGGCAAGGTGATGTCTCTGCTTTTTAAGATAATACGCCAAATGCAGTCGCACCATAAATTTCTACAACAGCATTATGATATCATTTTATTTTCAATTCCTCTCCCAATTCCTAGCATGGAATTTGCCTTTCTCACAGCCACCGCACACTGGGGTTAACACCTTCAGTAGAGCTATCTACTATGATCCCAAGGTCATGCTCCTATTCTGTCACCTCTGGTTCAGTCCCCATGAGCCTGTGCAGTAAGCCTGCAACTTATAAGGGTGGCTGTGTTCAGCCGCTTGCTCCTAAAGCCAAAATCATGTATAGTCAAAACCATCTGGGTTCAGTGGTGGGTGGGATTGCCAATGCTATTTTCCTGAGAACCCTGCCCCTTAAAAAAAAAAATCTATTTTTTGCCCTGTGCGTAAATCTGAATGCACACAAATTAATTATGTTTAAATGGTGGGCTAGGGACGTGGGTGGCGCTGTGGGTTAAACCACAGAGCCTAGGACTTGCCAATCAGAAGGTTGGCGCTTTGAATCCCCGTGACAGGGTGAGCTCCCCTTGCTCGGTCCCTGCTCCTGCCAACCTTGCAGTTCAAAAGCACCTCAAAGTGCAAGTAGATAAATAGGTACCGCTCCAGCGGGAAGGTAAATGGCGTTTCCGTGCACTGCTCTGGTTCGCCAGAAGCGGCTTAGTCCTGCTGGCCACATGACCCGGAAGCTGTACGCCAGCTCCCTCAGCCAATAAAGCAAGATGAACGCCGCAATCCCAGAGTTGGCCACGACTGAACCTAATGGTCAGGGGTCCCTTTACCTTTACCTAAATGGTGGGCTTACTCTATGTCAAATTAAGGTTTTTTTTCACCCTGCACTTATTTACAAAGAACTGCATATGCCATTTTACCACCCATTCACTGACCCCGAACAACTTAACACCCCTCTGCAAACTTGGGCCACCCCTCTGCTGCCTTCCCAACTCCAAGAGAACATTTCATGCAATGTGCCTTTTTAGGTACTTTTCATTAGAGCACGTCTTCTTTTTGCAAATAAAGGGGGAGGAGAGCAGGTATTTTATTGTAATGACATGTTTATTTTATGTATAATGGCATTATGGTAACGTATTGTTTTTAGATGTTTCTATTTTAGCTGTAAGCCACCTCAAGTTCTTCAGGGGAAAAGGCAGGGTATGTATGTATAAATATTTTCCCCCAACAGTCAGTTGCAACCCTTAACTTTCCAAAGCCAGAAGTGTGCAAGGAAGTATAACTGAAAAACCGCCTTATGCAAGCTGTGAGTGAGATGGAATGCCCTTTATTGGAGCAAAGCCTGGGGATAGCTCAGTCACTAGAGCAGGAGACTCTCAGTCTCAGGGTCGTGGGTTCGAGCCCCAAAGTGGGGAAAACAGATCCCTGCATTGTAAAGGGGTTGGACTAGATGACCCCCGTGGTCCCTTCCAACTCTACGTGAAAATCATTGCTCCAGCTGCGAAACAGCCAACCTAATGCAACCTATGCACCGCCTAAGATTGCAGAGACCCACGCGGAGCATGCGCACTGGGGCTTGGCTTCTCCCTGGGAGAGGCGGGCCAAGAGGCGCGCATGCTCCCTCCGAACACCACCGCGCGAGGTCCCCGACCCACCTCCTCAGGGCGCAGGCGCCGAGCGCGGCCGGAGAGAGCTCGCGCATGCGCCACAGTCCCGAGAATAACGTCTCCCTCTCTCTCCCTCTCTCTCTCACTCTCTCACACACACCAGCGACTCGAGGCGCATGCGCGGCCTTCTCCTTCGCTCTCACTCGAGGCGCCCGGCTCCCCTCAAGAGGCCGTTTTTTAGTCTTATCTCTCCCCGCTCACTTACCCAGGAGGCGCACAAGGCTCCGGCTCCGGCCGGGCAGGACCTCTCGTTCACCGGCTGCCTTGAGGGAAGAAGAGGCGGCTTCTCCCATGGCTGCGAAAGCGAGGAAGAGTCTGCGGAGGCCGGCGGAACTCATCGCCCCTCCCCCCACCCCTGGGGCAAGAGGGACGGAGAGGCGGCAGCCGTCAGGTGGCGCGCGCATGCGCCGGGACGGAACCCCTGTCGCGAGGCTCGGGGTGGGGGGGGAGGGCACGTGGTCAGCGGCTGGGCGCGAGCGATGGGGAGTCACGTGCCCCCGGAGAGGAAAGGTGCAGTTGCGCACGCGCGGCCGGGGACTTACCTTGCATAATATTGGGGGTTTTTTTAACGCCTATGGGGGGGGGGAGAGCGGGCAGTGGATCAAATTATGTTGCAAACCTCCCCGCGGTGGCTGGTACAGAAAAGCAGTTGATGATCATAAAATTAATTATCAATAATAATGCTTATTGTTTAATGTTATTTAATATTTATTTATTATGTCTGCTGCATCAGAGGCAAAGTCCCAAATTAATGGATTCAAGTTGCAAGGAGGGAGATTCGGACCAAACCCTGCCCAAGCAAGGTGTGATGGCATGGGCGTAGCCAGGGGTGGAACTGAGTTATCTGTGACACAATTGGTTAGTTAAGTACTTTTATTTATTTACCTGATTTGGGAGGCAGCTCCCCACTACGCCCATGTGTGATGGTAGTAAAAGGTTAAAAAAAAAAAAAAAAGATAAAGGATCCCTGGACAGTTAAGTCCATTCAAAGGTGACTACAGTCATCCCTCGGGTTGAATGTGCTTCAGGTTGAGCGCGTTCGAGTTGCGCTCTGCGTCAACCCGGAAGTAATGGAGCACGTTACTTCCGGGTTTCGCCGCATGCACAGACGCTCAAAATGACGTCATGTGCAGAAGCGGCAAAACGCAACCCGCAGACGTGCCGTCGCGGCTTATGTTGCGTTCAGGATGTGAATGGGGCTCTGGAACGGATCACATTCGCATCCCGATGTACCACTGTATGAGGTTGCGGCACTCATCTTGCTTTCAGGCTGAGGGAGCCGGCATTTGTCCACAGACATCTTTCTGGGTCACGTGGCCAGCAGGACTAAACCTGCTTCTGGTGCAACCAAACACCATGATGGAAGCCAGAGCGCACAGAAACGCCATTTACCTTCCCGCCACAGCGGTACCGATTTATCTACTTGCACTGGTGTGCTTTTGAACTGCTAGGTTGGCAGAAGCTGAGACAGAGCAATGGGAACTCACTCTATTGCACAGATTCGAACTACCGACCTTTTGATCGGCAAGCCCTAAGGCTCAGTGGTTTAGACCACAGCACCACCCACGTAGTAGATGATGCGCTGAATGGGTGCCTGGCCCTTGGGAATGGACTGTCTGAGAACATCTGCATCAGGGGTCGACTTTTTCCCCAAAGAAGGTTTCGTACCTCAGTGACATGAGAGGCAGAAATGCAAAGGGCACAGCTCACCTTGGCGTGGCAATGAAGTGATGGGAAGTGCTGTGCTATTTCTGCTTGTTGTGCAGCTGATTTTTAAAAAGACAATGACAGTCTCTCAGGAAAGATATCAGGAAGAATTTTCTGATGGTAAAAGCTCTTCAACAGTGGGATGAACTCCCATTAGAGGAGGTAGACTCCTGTTCCATGGAGGTTTTCAAGTAGAGGTTGGATGGCCATTGTCATGTATCATCTCGTTGAGGTTCCTGAATTGCAAGGGGTTGGACTAGATGACCATGGGGGTCCCTTCCAGCTCTACAGTTCTATTATTCTATTGACTTACAGCATTTATACCCTACCCTTTTCGGCCAAAAACGCTATTCAAGTCGGCTTACAGAAAACATTTCCATAGAGGGCTAACAATAATAATAATAAATATACATGGCACATGAGGAAAAAGGGAGTGGAAGGGAGGAAGAAGGGAAGCTACATAAGGCACACAGGTTCCTGAAGTTATAGGCAGTCTCGGTGATGGTTCTGGCTGTCTTGCCCTTGAAAAATAAGCCCCTGTCCTGAAGTACTCTTGACTGTCTCCACCCCATAGATCCAGGAGCAGAACTGGGGGAAGCATCTTGGCCGGGAGGTTAGGGCACCTCTTGCCACATAGTTGTTGTGTAACACAGCGAGAATGGACTTTGCAAAGTTCAGTGGTTGTATTATTGCTTTTGAGGTACTTTCAGGTTTTATACGTCAAATCCTCTGCTTTGAATTGGGCCCAGAAGCTAATCAGCAGCCAGTGCAGTTGGGTCGGGATTGGGGTTACAATCAAATCTCAGCTCCCGAACGCCTCTGTTTTGGAAAGTTTCGGCTTCCGAACGCCGAAAACCCAGAAGTAAATGCTCCAGTTTTTGAACATTTTTTGGAAGCCGAACGTCTGATGTGGCTTCTACTTGAGTGTAGGAAGCTCATGCAACCCATCAGATGGCGCACCTTGGTTGTCGAACATTTCGGAAGCTGAATAGGCTTCCGGAACAGAATACGTTCAACAACCGAGGTTTGACTGGAGATGCTCAGACTGTTGTGCCCCAGTGAGCAACCTGGCCGCCAAATCCTGCACCAGCTGAAGTTCCTAAACCGTCTTGGGGGGCAGCACCATGAATAATGCATTGCAGTGCTCTATAACATAAGTTACCAGAGCATGGACATCAGTTAAGCTGTCCTTATCCAGATAGGGGCACAGCTGAGCCATCAGCGGAAGCTGATGGAAGGCACTCTGCACCACTGATGCCCCGAGCAGGACTGGAGAATCTATGCCCCCTCAAATAGCTGCTGACTCCCAGCTCCCATCACCCCTAACTGGGCCATTCTGGCTGGGGCTGATGCTTATTTATTGAAGCTTATTAATGTGATAAAATGTAAACCACTGCCTGTATTCACTAAAAAAGTGGTACATAAGCACCCTAAACAAACCTTGGGGATCTCCTCTTAACTACAATAACAGCTGGTTTTATTCATTAATAAATAAAGGACCTTGAGGATACAACAAAGTCTTCTGGTACCTTAAAGCATGGGTAGGCAAACTTTAGGCCCGGGGGCTGGATCTGGCCAAATCACTTTCTAAATCCGGCCCGCGGATAGTCTGGGAATCAGCGTGTTTTTACATGAGTAGAATGTTTGCTTTTATTTAAAATGCATCTCTGGGTTATTTGTTGGGCATAGGAATTTGTTCATATATACCATATTTTTTTTCAAAATATAGTCTGGCCCACCACATGGTCTGAGGGACGGTGGACTGGCCCATGGCTGAAAAAGGTTGCTGACCCCTGCCTTCAAGACTAACATTTATTATGACATAAGCTATTATGGAGCAGGGCCCACATCATTGGATGCAGCTCCGTTAGATTTTCAGCATCTTAAAATTATAAGTTGAAGGTTTCTGTTCAGTTTATTTATATGCCTAAAGCGGATTGCGATAAACATGTAGCTTGCCATCAAAATACAGAACATTTGGGGAAGCGTGATTTGTTACGAAACATAAATAAACTCAAAAGGAAATAAAATCAGCAGCTTAATAAACCTAGGGTAACACTTAGGCACCGTACAATTAGGCGGGCTGTCTGACATTTGTTCACAAAATGCGTCCCAGCTTTACGGTTGCTGCTGCTGCTGCAACCGCACGTGAGTGAGCAGGCACTGCATGTCACGTAAAACGCGAACTGGGCCCCCAGCTTTTTGCAAATGCTTACGTCTCAATCTTTTCCGCAGCACCAGTGTTACACGGGCTGAAGAGGGGCTCCGTGAGCGTTAGCTGCAGGTGTGCATTTGTTTCACACAGTATGGATTTCTTAGTGTGGCCTAAGATGCTCACAGGCAGATTACAAAGAAAGGTGTAGGCATAACGACATGCGTCGTGTAGGTTGTTAGTGTGCGTGACACCGTACTTTCAGAGTTCTTCTGAACGTTACCAAATAGATCATCCCCTTGGGTGGAGCGGGGGGGGGGGGGTCTTCTCCTTCGTCAGGAATTTTTGGTTTTTGCAACAGATTCCCTCAAGCCACCTGGTGGATTTCCAGTGTAACTACAGCATCAGGGAGCTATGCCGGCAGCTGAACGCTCCTAGTGACTCTTGTTAATGCCAGTGTTGGTCCCAAAGGTTGGGAACAACAGGGCATGTCCCAAGAAAAGAATAAAAATGCCGGAGGGCAGAACTAGCTCCATCCAGGAGGAATCATCCACTGGCTAATGCCCTGAACCACAGGGTACCTGGCGGCGAGCCCCACAGGTGTACATGATTCCATGGCAGATGCTGACACAGAGTCCAGCAAGTCCAAAGTCCGGTCAGGCCAGGTTCCTGGCTCTGCAGCCGATCCGGGGTCAGGACACCTAAAGGTCAGTCCCACACATGAACAGTCCCAAAGAGCATCTTGTAGTGTATCCCACAAAGGACCTTAGGGTCTTCAAACAAAAACATCTTGGAGGTCCTGGGCCACAGGGAGGTTAGGCTGGCCTCAACCTGAGCCAGGGCTTTTTCGGCTGTGGCCCCGATCTGGTGGAACTCTCTGTCACAAGAGACTATGGCTGTGGGACTTGACATCTTCCCGCAGGGCCTGCAAGACAGAGCTGTTCCACCAGGCCATTGGCCAGGACACAGTCTGACCCCCTCCTTTGATAATATTCACAGAACTCTGGCCCAATGGTTGCCATTAATTTGATTTTGAACTGATTTTAGAATGAATTGATTTTAGTCTGCTGTATCATTTTACTGTTGTTAGCCGCCCTGAGCCCGGCTTCGGCTGGGGAGGGCGGCATATAAATAAATTATTATTAATAATAATAATAATAATAATATCCAAGCCATGATCCAACCATTGTGGGCAGTTGAGCAGACACAGCACCTCCGCTCTGCTTCCCTTTTATACCTTGTATCCTGGTTGCAGCATCTGGGCTTGACGAGGCATGTGACCCTCACCTGTCCTGAGCCTACTCCCCCTTGGGAATCAGACACCTCCTCCCAGAGCTAGCAAGCCTTACCTGGCCAGCTACTGAGCTGGGCTGTGAGCCCTTGGCTACCTCAACCTCCTAGAGCGTCCCTCCTGCTTCTCCTTAGGCCTCAGAGCCCACCATGTTTGGGGAGACCCGGGCCCCTCTGGTGATGCGTCCTGCTGCTGTGGTTCCCCGTGCACTGTCCCCCATCCCCTCACCATTCTCCACTGCCCCACAAGTACTTTCCACACCAATCATCCCCAGCTTGCCCCAGTGTGTCCCGGTCACGGCTACACCCTTCGCTGGGCTCTTCTTCCTTGTTCCCGCCATTCATGACTTCAAGATTCTGAGTGCTAGGTTTTCATAACCGAGTGAATTGGCATGGGAGAAAATTTGCCTCTCTCGGATTTTAAGCACGGTGCACCAAGCTGCCCCTGCAACATCAACTCCAAGGTGATTTCAGTACAGAAGCACTCATGAAAGGGAGAATCAGATCCGTGCTCAAAACTTTCTCCAGTCCAAGGGCTGCATTCTCTTCTGGGAAACTTTCTGAGGACAACATGCCAGCAGTAGGCGGAGCAACAGATGTAAATTTAGGCTGGTTTCTGCACACACAAACTCTGTCCCCCACCAAGAAATCGAATGGTCATTGTCGGAGTTCAAAGACTCATTCCATCCTGGCCTGGCAGAAACAATTGCAACTGCAAAGGAGAGCCAGTGTTGCCTAATGAAAGTTCTGCAGCCCAGGTAGAGAGGTCTGGAGAGCTTGGGGTTCTCCACCCCATAGTAGAGCATAGAGGAGACCAGCTGGGGAGGTGGGAATCCCAAGTGGAATTTCCATATTTCTGTTATCAAGGTCATTTAAGTACAGTACATCCATTGAAGCTGAGTATTTTATAACTCAGGAAAGACCCCCCAAAAAGGGAAGGCTTTAAAAGGGGATTGTTGTTGTTTAGTTGTGTCTGACTCTTCCTGCCCCCCTGAACCAGAGCATGCCAGGCACTCCTGTCTTCCACTGCCTCCCGCAGTTTGGTCAAACTCATGCTGGTAGCTTCGAGAACACTGTCCCGCCATCTCGTCCTCCGTCGTCCCCTTATCCTTGTGCCCTCCATCTTTCCCAACATCAGGGTCTTTTCCAGGGAGTCTTCTCTTCTCATGAGGTGGCCAAAGTCTTGGAGCCTCAGCTTCAGGATCTGTCCTTCCAGTGTGCACTCAGGGCTGATTTCCTTCAGAATGGAGAGGTTTGATCTTCTTGCAGTCCATGGGACTCTCAAGGGTCTCCTCCAAGACCACCCAAAAGCTATAGCCCAAAATATCAATGGCTGCTAGTGACAATGAGCATATTCTGCCTCCATCGTCAGAGGCAGTATGCCTCTGAAGATCATTTGCTGGGGGTCCTAAGAGAGGAGAGTTGTTGCTGTATTCAAGTCCTGCATGCGGGCTTCCCATAGACGTCTGGGTGGCCATAGCAAGAATAGGATGCTGGACTAGATGGGCCTTTGGCTTGATCCAGCTGGACTCTTCCAATATTCTTTTTTATAATAATATTTTATTAATTTCCCAAAGATAACAAAAATAAAAACAACAATACAAAAACAAAACAGAACAGACTGACTTCCCTCTAGTCTCTTCCTTAGTTCCATTATTTATCAATGTACCACATGTCCATTGCTAAGTTTAAACTCATTTGTATTCCCTATGATCCATTCATAACAAATCTACAAGTAATTTCAAAACCCTGCTAATGTATTAACTTATGTACAATGCTTCTGTATATATGCAATAAAGTCCTTCCAATCTTCCTTAAATTCTTTGTCGTCTTTTCCTCTTAGTTCCATTGTCAATTTTGCCATTTCGGCATATTCCGTTAATTTAACTTGCCAGTCTTCTTTAGCTGGGACACATTCTTCTTTCCAATGTGCTAATAATGTCTGTGCGGCTGTAGTTGCATACATAAATAAACTCTTTTGTGATTTTGGTAAATCCACTCCTATAATACCTAAAAGAAAAGTTTCTGGTTGTTTTAAACATCTTCATTTCATTATAAATCATTTCCCAATATTTCTTTATAATTTTATAATCCCACCACATATGAAAAAATGTCCCTTCAATTGTTTTGCATTTCCAGTCCTTCTTTCCTTAGTTTTATGCATTTTTGCTAATTTAACTGGGGTTAGATACTATCTATACATCATTTTCATACAATTTTCTTTAATCACCACACATGCTGTGAACTTCATCTCATTCTTCCATAATTTTCCCCAATCCTCCATCTGGATATTATGTTCCATATTTTGTGTCCAGACTCTTCCAATATTCTGATATTCTAGCTTAGGGATACCAGACGTCTCCATTTCCCGGAGACAGTCCCCGGATTTGCAAAAAAGTCCCCGGACAAATTCCATCCCCGGATTTCATCTAATGTCCCCGGGAAACGCAGCAGCGGCAGTCTCAGCAGCCCGGAGCAGTTAGCTCTGGCTGGCTTCTGGAGCTGCTCGGAAGTCCCCATATGATGATGGTGCAGGGGCTGTAAGATGTAGCTTCCGGGCTGCCTCCACCTTCCCTGACCCCAGCAACTAAGCTGTGAAAGAAGGCTTCATGCTGCCTATCGGAGAAGCCTCCCAACTCCTACTTGCGTGCAAGCAGGATCGGGGCGGGGATCTCTCAGCTGTGAAGGGAGCCTTCACGCTGCCTATCAGAGCTTGCGTGCAAGCAGGAAGGGGCAGGGATCTCTCAGGCAACAGGAAGCCTCCCTTCCCAGCTGAGGGATCCCCACCCCGATCCTACTTGCACGCAAGTAGGAATGGGATTGGGACTGCTCCATTGGGAAGGAAGGCATCACGCTGCCTAACTGAGAGATCCCTGCCCCTTCCTGCTTGCACGCAAGTAGGAATGGGATTGGGGCTGCTCCAATGAGAAGGCGGGCATAGCGCTGCCCAAGCCTTGCTGCCGCCGCTGCTCTCGGCCCTCCTTCTCCGCCTTCCATGCCTGACCCACCCCGCTTCCCCACCACCGCCACCGAAGAACCAACAACTCGGGCTGCCCAGGCTCACAGAGAAAGGAGACAGAAACCTCGGAGGAAGGGGAAATGTGGCAGTTGAGGTCAAGGCGGCAGCCACCCCTCTGCCACCGCCATCGCTGCAGCATCAAAGTCCCGAACGTGTAGTAATTAATTAATCAACGTGTCCCTGGATTCATTGGAAAAAATCTGGCTACCTTATTCTAGCTATGCCAATGGTCTGGCTTCAGTACAAGGTTGCTTCCTCTGCTCCGATCTGTCTTGCATACAGAAGGTCTGGGAGAGAATTCTAGAGAGCATCTGCCAATCGCGATCTGACATAATGCTTCCTATGTTCCGATAAATTGTTCAAGGCGTTGAAAAACAAAGAAAGCAAATCAGTCCCTGCCTACAGTCTTAATAGATGCAATGATTGGGTGGGGACGAGAAGAAGCAAATTTAGCCACTATGTCTTTTTACAAAGCACCCTTGTGCACTATAGGACTTGCACTCGGGAACTGTAGCCATTAATTTATTAAACCAAACCCCCATGAAGATGGCCAGTTGCTATTCACGTGATGGGACAAACATCCGTCATCGAGGTGGGAAGATGGAAAACCAAACTAAATCCACTGAATTTTCATTAAGGCCGAGCCCTCTGCTCCTGTATCCTACTGGCTCCATTCGACATTTATTCATTGTGATAAGGAAGAAAAGGTCGTGCAGAAGTCATTGCCAACACATGGAACCAGGGTGTTCTGCCTTTTATTCCTTTGGCCAATTTAAGCATGTTGACAAATTTATGTTAACGTTTTTTTCCCTCCTGACATACTAATGGCCATATAGCTTGTTTTTCCAGCAAATTACACATTATCTCTAATGGAGAAAGTAGAGGAGGGTGTTCCCTCCCTTCCAACCCCTTCACTCCAAGGATGCTCAACAATTTCCAACGGCTGAAATGAGCATTATTGAGAAGGCATAACAGAGAGGCATTGGCTACCTCTACCACCATCATAATGTGAGCTTCCATCATCTTTATTACCAGCCACATAATGCACACAAGCACATTTTGGGGGTGCTTCTATAACGGCTTTATATTGTGGTTATCTATAAGACTCCACCTAACGTTGCATCCCAGAATGTGGAAACGCCTTTGTGCTTTCGGATTTAATTGCAAGCAATATACGATCTCGCTAAGCATTTGATTAGCCATCCAAGGCATCAGCTAATGTGTCCCTTTTTCATTTGCCCATTTAATTTCCCTTTATCTATTTGCACTATTTTACCATGATTATATGACAAACAACTACAACCAGGCTTACTATTAGAGAAGACATGACATTCGTGAGATCTGGAACAGGCACAATCCTAGCCAGTCGCCTGTGGCTTTTTTTTAAAGGGTCAGATTAATATACGCCTAGGTCTGGGAGCTTACAAAGCTGGCCACTGTCTCTGCGCAGCGCCTCTCCTGCAAAGCGGGAGGAGGAACAGAAGGGGCTCCGTTTCTCCTCCCGCTTCACAGGAGAGGCACTTCGCTGAAGGGCCGCTGCGCAACTCTCCCTCTCTGCGCAGTGCCGTTCACTCCATAAGATGCACTAACATTTCCCCTTACTTTTTAGGAGGAAAAAAGTGCATCTTATGGAGTGAAAAATACAGTAAGTGCTCAAACCATAATATACAGTGGACGTGCGGGTTGCGATTCGGTGCTTCTGCGCATGCGCGACTGCTAAAAACCCGGAAGTAACCCATTCCAGTACTTCTGGGTTTCGGCAGTCCGTAACCCACAAGAACCCAACCTGAAGCATCTGTAACCCAAGGTATGACTGTACTTGTAGTATTTTGGGAGTGTAGACCAGCCTTCACCAACCTGGTACCCTCCAGGTCCGAGCCACCATGGCCATACTGGCTTGGGCAGAAGAAAAATGGGACACTGGGTTGAAAAGGCTGTTATCACAGAACCCAACCATCTTATTCATCTGCCAGAGGCTGAAGAATCGCCCGCAACTGAAGTTAGGAAATGGAAAAGGCTACGCAATGAACAGAAGAATAAGGCAGATTGTGCTCCATCCTTGACTGTAAGGCTTCAAGACTTGTCCTTAATGATGCAAGGATGAAAGGGTAAGCCTCAAGGCTGAAAAGCGTGAAGTGGCTGGCCGGACAATGGCATCGAGGAGGTCTGCAACAAGAACTTGATTTCAGACCTTGACCACTTGAAGGACGGAATTAAGGAAGGAGGCCCAAATAAGAGTTTTGCTACATTAGTGCAGCTAGCAAAAGGGAAACTCGAGTTATAGGTATATATGGTTTTTGGTTTTTTGCAGGGGTGCGTGTTATTTCTCAGCAGTGACCCTCTAATATAGCAGAGGTGGCTCGCTATTGATTCCATCAGGCTAGCTGAAAGTGGCATGGAAAATAATGAACGGTGCAAAAAAAAAGATCACAGACAACTCCCCTTTCTTCTGCTTCATAGCACTAAAGACATCTCTGTGCCACCTGCAAGAGGAAAAGTCATCAACTGGACCAGGGATGTGGGGAGTGAAAGGGAGAAAAAAATGGATGACATTATAAAAGGAAACACACAACTCATCTATAAACAGTGTGCAATTAGCTGATAAAATGAACTGCCACAGCTCTTGCTGGGGTCCTGGCTTTTGCTGGGGAGTGTTGTTGCATCCTGCAGCCTTCCAGCTGTCCATGCATTGAAGGGGACATGAACCATGGGCCCCAGCAGCCGGACTTTAGTGCCTTGCCCACCACACCACTATGGCACTTGGATGCAGGACCAAGCAGTGGTCTGGCTCTCTGGAAACATAGGAAGCTGCCTCTTGCTGCGTCAAACCATTGGTCCATCCATTGTAGATGTGCTGGGCCCAGGGGTAACCCGAGTAACGCGCTCCAGGTCCGGTCCCGAATCCAAGGGTTCTGGGGGGAGTCAGTCCAACAGGGCCAAGGCAGGACACAAGGCAGGAAACCAGTCAAGGTCAGGCACAGGATCACAGGCAGGTTCTGGCAAACAGCAACGTTGCTCCCGCAACCTGGGGCAGGGTCCGACAGTCTTTTATCTCTGTCAGGGGAACAGCTGATCCTGATCCCCCAGTGACTCACCTCCCTGTCTCGCCCAAGGCGAGCACTCCTCCTGCGAGTACTCAGGTCTCTCCTTCTCTCAGACCTTAGTCTCTGCTGCTCAGGAGACATCTGTGGGTTACTACACCCAGAGGCCACCTCAGCCTCTCCTGACCCAACTGGCAGTGGAGCAGCTGTAGGTGATGGCCCAGCTGAAGGCAACGAGGCAATCCCCACATCTGGAGCCAGGGCAGGCTCAGGCCCCTGACTCGGCCCAGCTGGTGCTTGTTGCAGGGGAACCTGTGCAGACTGGGGCTCTGCAGAATCAGGTCCCAGACTTGGTTCAGATGCCACCTGAGGCAGAGGACCCAGTGCGGACTGAGACTCCTCCGGTTCCGAGTCCAAGCCTGAGTCCAAGGCCATCACACATAGGAAGCTGCCTCTTGCTGCGTCAAACCAGCAAAGTTGGGACCCTGAGGTTCATCTAGCCCAATACTGGAGTCCTCAACTTAAGCATCCATGAGTGATGGCCTCCCAACCTCTGCTTTAAAACCTCCAAGGAAGGAGAGTCCACCACCTTCCGAGGGAGACTGTTGCACTGTCAAACTGCTCTTACCCTCAGAAAGTTCTTTCTGGTGTTTCGTTGGAATCCCCTTTCTTTTGTAACTTGGAGCCATTGGTTTGAGTCGTTCTCAAGCAGGAGAAAACAAGCTTGCTCCATCTTCCATGTGCCAGATCTTTCTCTTTGACAATTGTTCCCAGAAAAGGCAAGTAGGCGTTGACATGGCAAAAGCAGAGCTCTTTTTTTTTAGCCAGAACTCATGGAAACTCAGCCCCTCCAAGTGCCCCCATTTTCCAGGGACCGTCTCAGGTTTACAGAAGCCGTCCTAGTTTCTGATTTGAGCCTACAATGCCCCACTGTTCCTTAGGACGTCCCTATTTTCGTTGGAGAAATGTTGGAGGGCATGGAAGAGGATGTCCCTATTTTCATCGGAGAAATGTTAGAGGGGGGTGTCTGTTTTAATCAGAGAAAAGTTGGAGGGTATGGGAGCTCCATTTCAGCATTTCTCAGGTGGGTGTCATTGCCGGTATAAGAGAACAAGGTCAGCATTCCTAGTGAGTTCTGGGTCCTCTGAGCCCGTATGGTGTAGTGGTTAAGAGCAGTAGACTAGTAATCTGGTGAACTGGGTTCGATTCCCTGCTCTTCCACATGCAGCTGCTGGGTGACCTTGGGCTAGTCACACTTCTCTGAAGTCTCTCAGCCCCACTCACCTCATAGAGTGTTTGTTGTGGGGGAGGAAGGGAAAGGAGAATGTTAGCCGCTTTGAGACTCCTTCGGGTAGTGATAAAGCGGGATATCAAATCCAAACTCTTCTTATGCATGGCATGGTGAAAGCGAAGAGTCTCCATCCGAGAGCTACATTCCTTTTGGGGGCAACCTTCCGGAGCCTCCCTTCTCCTTAGCCAATGATTACCACAGGAGTCACAAACATTATGAAATCCCTTTTGTGGGGGCGACAGCATGTGTTTACCCATTTCACGCACTCAAACCCCCAGCCCTGGCTAGCTCTGCCAATTCCTTGTGATTTCTTTTTTGTCACAATTTCCTCCGCCCTCCCCGCTCCAAATAATCTAAGTGCAGCACTTTCATAGCTGCTAATGTGATGGAGAATGAGAACTATAATGGCATATAACTAGGGGGGATCTAATTTTAAAGGGAAGCTGTCAAAGTTTAGAGTAATCTAGTCTTAATTAGTCCATTTAGAATGCCACTCTGGTGCCTCAGCTTAAGTATAATTACACGGAGGCCTGGCGGTGTTTAA